CTCAAAGATGATTGTGACACATTGCCATAAATTTTGAGTGTTCATACTGATTCCTGAGATGTTACCAAATTTAGCAAAATGTTGTCTAACTTTGATAAGCTTTGTATTCAGGAGAATATTCCAGACCACTATGGATTTATCTTTCTTGATCGATTGTTTGCTGATCTGCATGTGTGTGAGCTTATTGTTGCTCAGATTTGATAACTCCATTCTCATTGCATTATCTGCTACTTGTTGATCACCAAAAACTGTGACAATTCAGGTTCTCTTCTTTTCTCGTTCACTGCAGATTGCAATGAGCCCTGGTGATGAGTTGAGTGCTTTTGTAATATAGAGAATCTTTGCATCGCTATTGGAACCAAGGTGATATTGGTATTAATACCAACTTTGAAATGTTTTCTTCTGTATCTTGTCTCTGGATTAATAGGCATTCTTGATTATAGTTTGCTACTGAGTCAGATCACATTGTTCTTATAGCTCACTACTGTCCAGGGGTTTTTCTTCCTTTTAAAGATGCCATTTCCTTATTGTTCTATGTTTTCAGTTCTTGTCAGGTTGCTTTTGTCCACTGAAAAGTTTCAGTTTCTTGAAACTTCTTTTTTGGAAGAAGGAACATCTGTTAAGGGATCTTCTTTTTTACTCATGGCTTCTTTCATATTTTCACTCCAAGTTTGGATTTTATGGGTTGGTTTTGTCTCTATTTCTATATTGGTACCACTGGAAGAGGTAACTGCTGAAAGTTTCTGAGCTTTGTTAAGCTCATTGCCTTGGTTTAATTCTACTACTACTGATGTTGAGATCTTTGTCAACACACTGATGGCTTCTTAGTATATAGTTGATTATGATATCAAGAAATTTTTTAGGCAAAAATCTCTAGAGATTTTTGGGTATAAATTTCCAGAGGACTTCTGGTATCATTAGAAGTCTCTGGAGTAAAAGTCATTAATATAATTTCTGGAGATAATTGAAAAATTTTTCAAACATCTCTAGAAATTATATTAAAAAATTTTTAATATAATCTCCAGAGATTTTTGAAGATTTTTAAATATAATAAAATATGTTTGCATTAAATTATATATAAATATTATTAAAAATGTATTACAAATATTTACTTATATAAGCTATAAAAAAAACTCTTTCCGCTGATCCCCTTTTTTCTAAAAAATTTCCTTATTTGGTATTTTCTTGGAAAAGAGAAGCCAGCCTCAAAAGCACTTCATCCTTTAAAGATTTAGGACTTAACAACAAACTACAACAATCAACTACCTTCCCAAAGCTCCCCTTATCGATCAAGAGAAATATAGGCAACATAGCATCATACTAGCTTTACTTTATAAAGGAAAGGAAAAACAATCACAAACTGATTCACAGTAAGCCTAGAAGAGCCCAATATCAACTTCTTAAGCTTCTAGCCAGGCCAGTGTCAGTTTATACCTTTCTAGGCACTAGAAGGAACTCTGTAAA